CCCCCCCCCCTTTTCCCCCTTTTTTTCCCTCACTCAAAAGACTAAATGAAAACAAAGAAATTGGGTCCCATGAATCTCAACAGAGGCTTTCCTTTTTCCTGGTGGTAAGCAGGACCTGCAACTTTTTTCAAGGCATTCATTTTTCTTTAGTGCTCCTGTTATGGGCACTTTGTGACGAGTACTGGCACTTTTTTTAGACACTTTGTGTTGAGTACTGGCACCTTTTTTAGATACTTTGTGATGAGTACTGGCACCTTTTTTTGACACTTTGTGGTGAGTACTGGCACCTTTTTTTAAGACACTTTGTGGTGAGTACTGGCACCTTTTTTTTAGACACTTTGTGGTGAGTACTGGCACCTTTTTTTAGACACTTTGTGGTGAGTACTGGCACCTTTTTTTTTGACACTTTGTGGTGAGTACTGGCACCTTTTTTAGACACTTTGTGGTGAGTACTGGCACCTTTTTTAGACACTTTGTGGTGAGTACTGGCACCTTTTTTAGACACTTTGTGGTGAGTACTGGCAACTTTTTTAGACACTTTGTGGTGAGTACTGGCACCTTTTTTCTAGAGAAAAAGCCCTGATTGTAACAGTGGGAAAAGAAACGCCTAATCAGGTCTGAAACTAAACGTTTTGACGAAAATCTTCATCAGTCATCATCATCATCATGTGCCAAATTGATAAGTGTAGGCTGTCATGGTTCGCTATCTCACATGCTCACCAGAATTATGGATGAGGTCAGTGTTCTTGTCTCATTCACATGGCTGACCCATTCATGTATTTATCCCTTTGCCTTCTGCTTGTTCCTGTTTAGTCAGTCTTTCCAGTCGTTACCAGGGTCATTCCCTCTCACAACATATCTGAAAAACTCCTACTATCGACACCTCATTTCTCTATTAAGTTTATAGTTTTTGTCTATCTTATGGAGGACTGTTTCATTTGTTTCTCTATTATTTTATGATATTCTTTACATTCTTCTCAAACCCTCATGCCGCTGCAAATTTTGATTTCTGCCTTGCTGTTGTGTTTTCTCCATGTTAACCTATTGTTGAACGTTACTCCAAACTCTTGGTGGTTTCCATTTATCTGAATGACACCTGACTTTTGTTTTGGTGAGAGGGTGAAGAGAGAGCTGCTACACTTGTCTATGTTGATTCTGACACACCATTTATCAGCCCATGCAGCCATTGCATCTATGGATCTTTGTAGCAGTCTAATGGCCACTGTTGCTCATTATTTGTGGACCATAGTACCAAGTCGTCATACATTACAGTAATAATACCATTTGGTAGTTCAGCAATTAGGCCATTGATAAAGACCAGAAACAGTGTTGGGGAGAGGACATGACCTTGGGGAACACCATGGCGCTGCAAGAGTTTTTTGCTCTTGAGTCCGTCTGTCTATACTCGGGCTCTTCTGTTATACAAATATCCTTTCGCCTATCTGTAAATATTCCCATTCACTTTGTGGTTTCTCAGTTTCTTCATGAGACTTTCTTTCCAGACTTTGTCAGAAGGTTTCTTCAAATCTAGCCATGCCCTAAGCACTAGCTTCTTTTCTTGGAAGGCATCTTCAGTTTCTTGAGAGATGTAAGTTGTCTGGTCTTCTGTGTAGTAGCACTGTTTAAAGCCTGTCTTAGACTAGAACATATGAATGGAAGCAATCATAGCCAAGTATTCTACACAGTGGAAGAATTGTTGAAATGGTGGGAGGGAAAGGAAGTATGCTGATGTTTGTTTAGTGACCAAATCTTTTTTGTTTTTGTTTCACAGACATCATCAAATTTGCAGGTGGCACAATCTACAGTCCGCCCTTCTAGTCCTAGTTTATCATCAGGTCATTATGAAAGGTAGGCTTGATGCTTACATGTGTCACAGAGGTCTTATAAATGTTGTGAAAACATTCAGTTTCTATTTGTATGTTAAGCTTAACTTTTCTGCTTTGCTGTTCTGTGCTTGTGATATATGTTTTTGTCAGTTTGGTCAAAATAATTTACCAGCACTTTTAACCCTGAAGATAATTACTGTTGGCTATATTTTTATTTCAACAAAGAAGACACAAACAATCGATTGCACAGTTTATTGCCTAGCATATTTCATAAGAATTGAACAAATGGAGCGAATAAGTGAATTCTTTATAACTGAATTACAATTGAACCACATTCAAAAGCAATTGCATGTTGTACCAGGGTAGCCGCAATGTCAGAATCATGTCTTTCTATATTTCTTATTGTTGTTCTGTAAAATTTGTAGCAGATGAGAGCTGTGTGGTCTCGAGGCATGGTGTCCTTCGCCTTGAGTGCTAGAGGTTCCGGTTTCAATCCATGGTAAGGGCTGGGATTTTTTCACTTGGACTTGGACTTCTAGTAATTCCCCCGCATCTCTGGATAGTGAGATTGGACGCCCGTGTGCATTGTTGCGCACATAAAAAAAATCCTTTGGCAGTTGGAAATGGAAAAGAGTAGCCTAATGGCGCTGTCCGGACAAAGTTTGGAGTTAAAAATCTACCCAAAGTATTTCAGGATCCCCGCTGGTGCTACAGAGCCTGTGCACTGTGCTGAACTTCTTCAGACTCAGACTTGAGTTACCCCTGTGTGGGTTCCGGGGCTCCATTGTGGGGAAAACAAGAATAGACCCACTGCCTCCCCAAAAACATGTCGTAAGAGTCGACTAATTGGGGAGTTTCCTTTGAAGTCGGAGTGCATCTGCCGGAGAGGCAAGGAACCAACAGTCTGTATTCAAGAGAATGAGATCTGTAAAACTGATGCACACGCAACACTCAGGTTCTGGAGCAGGACTGCAGTTCAGTAATGGACGAGCAACCAGAACTTTCCGCCAGAATGTACAGTTGGTGAACACGAAGAAGAAGAAGACTTGAGTTAGAAGAAGAATGAAGCACTTATAGGTTACACCCGTGTGCCATGATGTTGATCTGTTGTTTAAAACCTCAGGTAGCAGATAGCTATATTTAATTCTTTGAATCTACGTGGTGACACAATTTTATAACATTGAGCTCCCAGTTCAACCAACATGAAATGACTGTCATAAAATATCCTGGGAAGTAAAGGTGGCCAGTGACATGTTGACCTTATAACCCCTCAAGGGCTGATTGATCTGTAAAGATATTGGTCTAGCACCATATGTGCCATTGAAAAGTTGTCATGTTTGGTTTGAAAAACAAAAAGGTGGAAATGGCATTCTTTGTCATGGCACGATTATAGGGCATGTTTAACCTTGTCACCCCAAAAAGGCTAAATCTAGTCACTTCCAGTTGTGACAGCCCATAAATGCTGATGTATGGTAGTGACTTTTCTCAGACAGCACAATTCCTTTGGCCCTGTATGTGTCAGCACAATGTCTAGTAGGCCAGGATATGAATATAGTAACTAAAAATAGCATTTAGGGGGAATTTCCTTATGACCCAATGGCATTTAGAAAAGCCAAGTTGATGTAAAATTGTCGCGTAAATGTTGGTCATGGATCTCAGGGGGAATGTTCCATTTAATACTTCACTTTGTCTTTATTGATTACCTATTTAAATATCTTTGAATATTTCAATGTAAAAAAAATTATTATTGACCTGTTTGATTTGGGGTTTTTAAAAGGATTTTCCCCCTGAAGAGTTCCTTCGTGTAGTTACATCTTTTTTCTTGTTTTGTGTATATGCAGCATTAAATCCCTTCGTTTTTTTTTTCAATTTATAGTTTATTCTATGTTGTTTCCAGTGCCCCAGTTTATTCCATGTGGTTTCTGGTGACCCAGTTTATTCCATGTGGTCTCCAGAGCCCCAGTTTATTTCATGTGGTTTCCGGTGATCCAGTTTATTTCATGTGGTTTCTGGTGCCCCAGTTTATTCCATGTGGTTTCTGGTGCCCCAGTTTATTCCATGTGGTTTCTGGTGTCCCAGTTTATTCCATGTGGTTTCTGGTGCCCCAGTTTATTCCATGTGGTTTCTGGTGCCCCAGTTTATTCCATGTGGTTTCTGGTGCCCCAGTTTATTCCATGTGGTTTCTGGTGCCCCAGTTTATTCCATGTGGTTTCTGGTGCCCCATTTTCGGGAAAAAGGAATAAACCAGCTGCTTCCCTAACAAGCATATCATAAAAGGCAACTAATTAGCGATTTTTCCTCCAGAGTCGGAACCCATCTAGCTGAGCTGTGAGGAACAAACAGAGCATATAAATAAGCCAGATCTGTGGATGTGCATACAAAATCAACTTCTGGAACAAAATTTAAGTACAAATGTGGAGGAACAACTAGAATTTGCCACCGCAGTTTACAGCCGGTAAACGCTGAAAAAAAGAATTTATATAATATTACTGAAACTGACTGACTGACTTAAAATTTAAACAGCAAGGAAATTGCCATTGATTTGATGAGAAACTTGTTACCTGTTTATGTGAGTTTTGGCCAAACAGATTTCTTGTTCTGCTTCATTTATTTAGTTGGCAGCTGATAAATTGGGAGCCACATTAGCACAGTCGATAGGAGACTTGCTTTTAAACTTGCAGCCCACGGCTATTGTTTGAAACTGGACTGTTCCCAGGGTTCACCCAGCCTCTAGGAAATGGGTAGAGTTAACACTCTGGGGTAAATGGAGGAACGTTGCTGTAGCTACGGAGTTGTGTGAGGGCGGCGACACAGGTGGACCTGTTTCTTATCAGCTGTCCATACTAGTGGCAGAGCACTTATGGTTTAAAACCATGTGCAGTGATGCTGGTTCACATTTCCCGACTTTACCTTTACCTTTAAGATAAACTTAATACGATAGGTAATAAATTATTTACCTTAGTGCATGGGTCATCCTCACTTAACATTATTTTGAAACCAATATTATTTCAGGCAAATATAATTAGCTATTATTGATTGGCTTTTATTTTGTTGTTGTTGTTGTTGTTGTACAAATTATTAAATGTTGTTGCTTTAGAAATGTTTATGTAAGGCTTGTTGTTTAATAAGTGTTGTGCCACTCCTTTGATATGTTTTCAACGTTTCCCAAAACAGCGTGGATTCTGCAAGCGGAGCCCAGAAGCGCGTGGCACGTAAACAAGCTCCTCCTCCACCACCGCCACATGAAAAAGCCGGCATGGCTCTAAAATCTGGCCATCAGGATAGCAGTGCCATTCTTCATGATGATCCTGAGAGCACCGTGTCCCATTCTCAGGCAGCCCCTACATTTGTGTCAGTCATTTTGCCGGAATCTCCCATTGATCAGTTTAAAGTTACTGGTGCTTCTGAAAAGGACAGACAGAGATTAGGAGGCGGATACGCAGATCGACCCGCTGTACCTCCACCACACAGACCAGAACAAGGCCCTGATAGGCCCCGGCCTCCATCAACATTAAACCCCCCAGTGCCTGTCCGGGGTCACCAGAGATCCGCCTCAACTGGGGCTCTGATCAACAAATCATTAGGAAGTTTAGACGGCAGTTCAGTTGCTGGAGTCCCCAATGCAGGTAGTTTGTCTTCTTTTGATAATCCTGATGGCAGTTGGGATTTTAGAGGAAGTCATGGGTCTGTTTCCCAAATCTATGCTGTAGATTCTCTGGTTGTAGTACCCCCTGATACATCTTATAATACAGCCTATCATTTTAGCATGCATCCCAGATCTACATCTCCTCAGCCTCCGTCTCCAGGGCAGTCACAATATACAAAACTGTGATAATTTTCCTTAAAACCTTTTCATTTTTGTTAATTGAATTAGGCTTGTCCTAATTTTTACAAAACAAGAATTTTACATAATTATCTTTCAAATATATATATATATATATTTATGTCTTCTGGTTTTTAAGTTAAAAACTGTTTTATGTAAGTTGAGAATATTCGCTGTATTGTATTTATCTACTTTTCATCAGTACAAGATGTTTCCCCTATGCAAATTTATAAAATGTTGGACTATCATCTGTTTATTCACATTTGTTTACATTTTAGGGGGGGCTGTATGGTCTCGAGGCATGGTGTCAGCCTCGAGTGCTAGAAGTTCCGGGTTCAATCCCCGGTAAGGGCTGGAATTTTTTTCCACGTTGACTGAGACTTCTAGTTATTCCCTCTGGTCTCTGGGTAGTTAGATCAAGATGCCAGTGTGCATTCTTGCACACATAAGAAATCAAAAAGATTAGCCTAAAATTTGGAGTTAAGAATCCACTCAAAGTATTTCAGGATCCTGGCCAGTGCTACAGAGCCTGTGCACTGTGCTGAGCTTCTTCGGACTCAGACTTGAGTAAGAAGAATGGAGCACTTATGGGTAACTACCCTTGTGCCAGGATGTTGATCCATTGTGCAAAACCTCAAACTGTTTACTTTTATTTCTTCAAGTTTTTCAAGCAGTGGTAACAAGCTGGACAGGGGATTAATGATGCAAAGACTTTAAAAATTCAATTAAATTTCTGAATATTAATTATCTTTATAAAGCAGCAAAAACAGAGATTCTTAGCTTAAGATAAACCCTGGTTAAAAAAAAAGGCTGGTGTAATTGTTTCTTTATACTGTTATAAGCGTATTTGCCAAGGCGGAGCGGCCAAACGCTTGCCATGGATTGGAAAGTTGTGGGTTCGCTCCCTGGCAGAGCCAGATTTTAAAAAAAAATGACCTTGTCTTCCAGGTCGACCCAGCCTTGAGTGGGTACTAAGGTGCAGTCCCAGGAAGTAAAGGTGGCTTGCGTGATGCTGACCACATCACCTATCTTGTGCCACTTGGTCTATAAAATATAGGTCTAGCCCTATATGCCTTGTACGCCTAAAGGCTTGGAAAAGGGTCCTTTTCTTTGCTTTCTTCATACTGTTATCTTGACCTGTTTCATCATCATCATCCTGTTGTATCGTTAAACATGTCATAAAGCTCGCAGTATATTCCTTTATTCTGTTCTACCTTGTACAGTCCTTTCATTATCATAGACTTAATTCAGTCCAGCATGTTTGGCCTCTCTTAACAACATTCTTTTTTTTTTTTTTTGGTTTTTCTTGGACATCCTCATTTCCTTAATCCATCCTTTTCCAGTTTCACATTCAGTCATCATCCCCTTGTGGGATGAAATTTTTTAGTTTTTTTAAAGCCCCACTCTGGCTTTTGCCGGGAGCCTTAAATATGGCCTAATGGCTGAACAGAGTTTTCTAGGACCTCTCCACAGGTGATCCTCCTCCGCATGGTGGCACAAGATGTCTATCGCTTGTGTGATGTCCTGGTGGGGAACAACTACCTACCAGTGCCTGTTAGGTGATTCTCTGCTCTTTTCTTCTCAGGATGCACCCAGTATAGTGCCAGTCTTAGTCATTTACCTTTTGATCCCAGTGGTTGTCCAGACATTTTTTCTATGTTTTTTTCCCCTCTGACTTCCATACGTGTTGTAGTAAAGGGTGTCCGTTAGGTTTCCATACATAGAAAAAAAATTAAACATATTACCAGCGCCATTTCAAGCATAACTCCAGGTGTGTTCTGATATAAATAAAAATAGTTTTCATTAAAAAATGTTTAAATTTTTCCTTAGTATGGAAACTTATGGAACGCTATCTGATTTTTTGATTTAAAGTGATAAGACAGGATAGTAGCTAATTTGCTTGTGATTGCAAATTTCTGTCGCAGGTGTTGGGAAAGTTTTAACAACTTTCAGAATTTGTATAGTATTTTTTTTTTTTTTGCATGCACAAATAATAATAATCATTATCGGGTCTTTGGCCAACTGGGGTCGTGGATCAATAAGTGACCCATGACTCCATAATTTAAAATGGGCATGTTTTAATTTGCTCTGGTTTTTTTTTTCTTTTTCTTTCCGCAAATATTATTTCCCTCTTTCTGAAGTTTGTAATAATTTGTCTTTATATATATTTGTTGTCTCTTTGCAAAACACTTAAATTGTTTATTATTGCTGTGAAAGGTATTTATATATATAATTCGAGATGATTATTTACATATTGATAATCACTTCCTTCCCCTTGTGGGTTGCGGGGTCCCATTGTAGGGTAAAAAGAATAGACCCACTGCCCCCTAAAAAAGCACTTCGTAAGGGTCAACTAATTAGGGATGCTCCCTTGAAGTACATCGGCCCAAGACGCAGGCAACAAAAACGGCACATAAATCATCCAGTGAAATGGATGTACATGCAAAACTCAGGTTCTGGTATAAGGCCAAAGCCAAATGGACGAACAACCAGCACCTTCCACCAGAATTCACAGCCATCGAAGGCTAAGAAGAAGAAGAAGGTTAGGGATGTTTCCTCTGAGGTTGGAGCGCATCTGGCTGAGAGGTGAGGAACCAGTAGTCTGCATACAAATATCCAGATCTGTAAAACTTATGTGCACACAAAGCTGAGGTTCTGAAACACAACTTAAGTCCAGAAGCCGATGAACAACCAAAACTTTATAGCCGGTCAACAGGAAAAAGATGTTATTCAGTGGGCTTAAGGTCTGAATGTCAGAATAACCCCATGTCTTTTGCTTATTTGCATGTATTATTATTTTCCAGTGTCATCTTTTCTTTTGTATTGTTCAGTAATCATTATTATGTGCCATGATAATAAGTGAAGGCATGCTTGGTTCATCAGCTCACAGTCGCCATCCCCTGGCTAAAGTTTGTGATTTCTTGAACTGATTTCATCTGATTCAGCCATCCCCCCCCCCCTTTTTTTTTTTAAAAATACCTTTTTGTCATACCCTTGCTCTTACACCGTTGTGTTTACTGGTTGTCACAAAGTTTTCAAATTCTCATCATAACATTTTCAGTTATTTCCTTTATATCTTATCGTGTTTCCGTATGAAAACTTTATCATTAGTGATTTTTTATAATTTATTCAGCATTTCTTAGATTTTAAAGTTAGCATTTTTATCTTGTATCGGATTTTTGTTTTTTAAATCTGTGTAAAATCACAAATGATATTGTTAAATTTTATACATTGGTATCCTAAATTTACCCAAATGCCCTCACATGCTTCTTATTGTTTAAACAAATTTCTCTGTTGAAACACTTTTTCTGTTTTAGATTGTAAGAATGTTGTAAGTACTCCTTGTTAATTGCTTTACATATCTATATAGCCTTTTCTACCGTTGCTTCATTGACATAGATACCTCACTACATGCACATACATTACTTTTGTAACCTGCACAATTTGCCAGTATGTAATCTATGTTGAACTTCACTTCTCCCTGTACAGCAATGTTCCATCCAAGCTAGTGTGCTTATTTTCCTCCCCTTACTCACATATTTTTTGCTTGTATATTGATAACATTTATGTGGTAATAGATTGAAAACTGACAAACTTTAATGTTAGAAACTCACAACTCCTCAACTTAGAGACAACATTGATGTACATAATACGTATGTCTTTCCATCATTGGGATACTGTAGTCTTCTTCAGAAGACAAGTTTATATTTTCAACCTTTAACTCTTTTACCCCACAGATACTAAAAAAAAAAAAAAAAAAAACGAGCCATGAACCCATGGAAATTCCCATGTGTGATGTTCTCAGCAGGGGCGGCTCGCTGCTCTGCTTAGAAAGGCTGTGTTACATGAGATAAAAACTTGTACAGTGAAATGGATATTGTTGACTTTAAACTTTCTTTATTTTGATGTATATCAATCAGCAAATGGGATACATATGCAGTTTCAGTTACACTTGCATGAATGTGATTTTTTTTTTTTTTTACATATATTGTAACTTATACATTATTATGTGTATGTGTGAACATACACTATGTATGAACTTACACTACTGGCTTTTCCTTTGTGTTTAATCCTTAAATTCGAAGGCTGAGCTGTTGAAAAATTTATATCACATTCAAGCTTAAACAGTTTACAGGGACATGGTGTTATTTCACAGACTGAATATTTGAATGAAATAATAACTCTCCTTTTATGGGTTCTGGGGCCACATTTATAGGGGAAATTTTTTTGACCAATAAGAGCTGTCAGTTTTGTGTACATTATTTATTATGCAGATGCTTCTCAAATAGGAGTACATTTTTCACTTTTATTTATCACTTATTGGCTGTAATTTAATATTTCCATTTATTAAGCCTGATGTATAATCATTATATAATTTTTTTAATGTGTTATTCTTTGTTATATTTACTGCATGTTTAAGAAATCTGCATGCCCAATTTTGCTTATTTATTATGCTTTTCTCCCATTGGTTTGCAAACTCGTACACATCCTTCAGGAAAGGAGCATTTCATTTATGCATGGATTGTCTATAAACATATAATTCTATGGTGGCTTTAAAGAAATAAATAAAGCATGACTATACAATTACTGTTGTTACAGATTATTTATATATTTTCTTACAGTTAGATGTTTTATTGATATAATATTTTTACTTTGTTACTTCAGTCAGTCAGTAGCATGTTCTTTGCAGAACCTTGCTCCCATAAAACCCTCCTGAAAACTTCTCAATCACAAGCAAGATGTTTCGCGTCTGATACACACATCTGGAGATTATCCGCCCCATCCTGCACCCATCTTCTCTTTGGCCTTCCTTTTCCTTTCTTCCCAGGCATTAGCCCACCATTATTGTTTTCTCTAAGCTATTGTGACGTTTCAAATGACTATAAGTATTGGCTGTGTTTTATCGTCTTTAATAGACAACCTTCTTCAGTATTCAGTTCTTGAAGTATGGATGTATTTGTTCTTTTCTTTACCCATATTCTTAGAACCTGTCTATAACATTTGTATTC